CTAGTTCTTTGTTTAAACTTTCTTGGCTCTGGATCTTCTGATTCTTCATGTTCTTGTGTTTCTATCAGCTGCTTCTCTACTCTGAGCTGGCGTAAAGCTGCGCCAACAAACCACTTACACCATGCGTGGTTTGTTTATATGCGTGCCTAGTTCCCGAATTATTAATTTAATTACTTAATTATAAATTACCCTTATGGGGACTTGGAGCCCGTTTGAAAGTATGGACGCCGTTGTCGTAACCCAGAGACTGCCTATATCCATTTCAACTTTCCTGAATTACTTTGTTCTAGGTAGCCTCTGTATACAATGAAGAGTTAGGTTTGCCTTGTAATTCAATCAGGAAAAAGAAAGGTTTATTTCAGCAGGTGATTTAGGCCTGTATTAGTTAGCTAGAGCTGCCATGACAAAGTATCACAGACTGTGTGGCTTAAACAACTGAAGTTTACAGTTCTGGAAGCTAGCAGTCTGAAATCAAGGTGTCAGCAGGGCTGATTCTGAGGGCAGTGAGGAAAAGACTATTCCATACCTCTCTCAGCTTCTGGTGGTGTGCTGGCAATCTGGTGTTCCTTCACACCACCCAATCTCTGCCTCCATGGTAACATAGCATTTATGTGTCTGTGTCCTAACTGTGCCTTTTTATAAGGATACCAATCATGTTGAATTAGGGGCCCACCCTACTCCAGTATGACCTCATCTTAGCTAATTATATCTGCAATGATCCCCAGTTTCAAAGTCACATTCTGAGGTACTGGTGGTTACAACTTCAAAATACAAACTTGAGGCTGGGTGTGGTGGCTCATGCCTGTAATCCTAGCACTCTAGGAGGCTAAGGCGGGCAGATTGCTCAAGGTCAGGAGTTCGAAACCAGCCTGAGCAAGACCCCGTCTTTACTAAAAATAGAAATAAACTGCTTGAACAGCTAAAAATATATAGAAAAAAATCAGCCAGGCATGGTGGCGCATGCCTGTAATCCCAGCTACTTGGGGGGCTGAGGCAGGAGGATTGCTTGAGCCCAGGAGTTTGAGGTTACTGTGAGCTAGGCTGATGTCACTGTACTCTAGCCTGAGCAACAGAGTGAGACTCTGTCTCAAAAAAAAAAAAAAAAGAAAGAAAGAAAGAAAACAAAAATCTCTATGCACATAAACTTGAAAACACTGAGGAAATGGACAAATTCTTAGAAACACATAAAATCCCTAAGCTCAATCAGGAAGAAACAGAACTCATGAATAGACTAATAACAAGTAACGAAATTGAACCAGCAATAAAAAAATCTCCCAACAAAATAACTTCTGGACCAGATGGTTTCATAGACAAACTTTATGAGACCTACAAAGATGAATTGGTACACATACTGTAGAAATTATTTCATAACATCATTATGATTGTATTTTTAGGTATATTATGCCAGTCCCTCAACAAAACTGTTCAAATTTCAGTAACCAGTGTATATTAACTGTGAGAATAAAATATAATCTCTGATGCTAGCTCTATAGTCCCCAAATCTTTATGGACTTGACACATGTGCAGCATGATCCAAGTGACCAATCACTTCTTTTTAAGTCTAGTGGTGATCAATCACTGCATATCTGAGTAACAGTTCACAAAGACAGTAAAGCATGTAGTTGTGTTGTTCTGGTTTCTCACTGAAAAACCAACATGAAATTTTACAATAATGGAAGGTTAAAAGAGGGAGCTGGCCAACATAGATGAAAATGCAGCAAAAAACTAAAAAGTTATAATGCTAGAAGTAGAAATGTATGTGATTAGATTTGAAAATGGCCCAGCAAAGGGAAGAAAAAATGAAGCCTAGGCTTATACACACCTGCGGTATGAACTGTATTGAAACAAATCCAATAAATATAAAAAAGAAGGTAGACTCATTTTAATATCATCTTTTAAATTGCACTAGGGACAGAAATCCATTTATCTAAGAAATGGAGTACTTACTTCTACTCTGTATTGAAGACAGTGATAAACAAAAAAAAAGTAATGATTCAATGCCAAAGTGTTGAAGTTGGTTGCCACACTAAAATAAAACGGTAATTAGGAAAATGAAGAAAAATCTTTTACTGCCAGTAAAGGTTGGTTTCATCATTTCACAGGTCAGCATGAACATGACTGTCGTTGGATGAACTGGTAAAGCTGCCAGCATAAAGAAAGATGCTGCTGCCAAATGCACACCCAAGGCCGGGCGCGGGGCTCCCGCCTGTGATCCTAGCACCCTGGGAGGCCGAGGCGGGCGGGCTGCTCAAAGTCAGGAGATACAGACCAGCCTGAGCAAGAGCGAGACTCTGTCTCTACTAAAAATAGAAACAAATTAATTGGTCAACTAAAAATATATAGAAAAAATTAGCCGGACATGGTGCCGCATGCCTATAGTCCCAGCTACTCGGGAGGCTGAGGCAGGAGGATCGCTTGAGCCCAGGAGTCTGAGGTTGCTGTGAGCTAGGCTGACGCTACAGCACTCTAGCCTAGGCAACAGAGTGAGACTCTGTCCCCAAAAAAGAAAAAAAACAAATGTACACCCAGAGTCCAAGCAGTAGTGAAAGCAGGTAATTTTGACTAAAAGGATAAAGAGGCCCCTAGAAGTGATCCTGGCAAAAAAAATTCAAATTAAAGGAACTCTTGTAGATATTTTACAACACTGAAAATACAAAGGGTAAGATTTTAGAAGTGGATCCAAACTTAGAAAGGAGTATGACAATTTGCCAATGCTTAGAAGGATTTCTGTGCTGTTCTAAGTTAGACAATGAGAAAGCAAGCACTGTTCCAACCACTCTTGTGTTTCTAGTACTTTAAACTATATGGTACTAAGTAAATAATAGTTTCATTATTTTTTCAATTCTCTATATATTACAACTGACAGTAAGGCAGGTTTTAGTATTTTCACAGATTCACACAGTTTTCAAAGGTCACAGAATAATTGTAATTTTCTCCATTGATTAAAATCACTTTGTAATTTCAGCTTGCGTGGCCATTTTTATGTTTCTGCACTAACATGCAAAGTGACGACTACAAGTACCCCTATATCAGAGTCTTGGGCCCTGCTCTTTCCTCTCCCTGACACATTCTCATATTGGAGAGCATATGGGCTTACTCCTTCATTCTCTACTCAGAGAAGCCTTTCTGTAAATCATCACCCTCTTCCTCCCATCACTTTTTATTCCCTTTACAGTTTCTTTGTCCTCATATATCTATTACTTCTCTAAACTAATTAGAAAGTAAGTTTAGGGCTGGGAGCAGTGGCTCACGCCTGTAATATTGGCACTTTGGGAGGCCAAGGTGGGTGGATCGCTCGAGGTGAGGAGTTTGAAACCAGCCTGAGCAAGAGCGAGACCCCATCTCTACTAAAAATAGAAAGAAATTAATTGGCCAACTAAAAATATATAGAAAAGGCCGGGCGTGGTGGCTCACGCCTGTAATCCTAGCACTTTGGGAGGCTGAGGCGGGCGGATTGCTCAAGGTCAGGAGTTCGAAACCAGCCTGAGCGAGACCCCGTCTCTACCAAAAATAGAAAGAAATTAATTGACCAACTAAAAATATATTACAAAAAATTAGCTGGGCATGTGGTGCATCCTGTAGTCCCAGCTACTCGGGAGGCTGAGGCAGTAGGATCGCTGAGCCGCGAGACTGAGGTTGCTGTGAGCCAGGCTGACGCCACGGCACTCACTCTAGCCTGGGCAACAAAAGTGAAACTCTTTCTCAAAAAAAAAAAAAAAAAAAAAAAAAATATATATATAATATAATATATAGGGGGGTGATAGTAGTAGAGAAAATCAGCTGAGCATGATGGTGCATGCCTGTACTTCCAGCTATTTAGGAGGCTGAGGCAGTAGGATCGTTTGAGCCCAGGAGTTTGAGGTTGCTGTAAGCGAGGCTGACGCCTTGGCACTCTAGCCCAGGCAACAGAGTGGGAATGAAAACTTTGCATCTATTTTAATCATTGTTATATTAATTTATCACCAGATCCAAAAGTGATACTTGGTACAAACAAGGCATTCGTAATTTTTTTCTTGAAAACAGCTTTATGAAGAAATAGATCTAAATAATATTAACATAGTAAGCTATTACTGATATAAGTAAAAAGTATAAGGTTTAAAACAACCTAATCAGCAAGACTTCATATTTAAGAATTAAACTATTAATATCTATTGCGTATATAGAAAAAGAAAGTGGAAAGATTCTTGTCAGAAGTGTTACCAATCAATATCATTCTGATCATTCTGGGAAGTAGGATCGGCAAGGTTAGTTTGGAAGTAGACAAAGATTTTTACTTTTTACTTTAAACATTTTTATATTCTCTACATTTTCCAATATAATATTACCTTTGAAATCAAGAAGATAACAAATAAAAAGCACAAATGAACTACTGTCATGAAACCATTTTGATAAGCTGTAACAATTGGGTGTTTGCTGTAAGGCAGGCTCTGTTCTAAGTCCTTTAAATGCATCATTTCATTTATTTATTTTTTATTTTTTTTTCTTTTTGAGACAGTCTTGTTTTGTTGCCCAGGCTAGAGTGAGTGCCGTGGCATCAGCCTGGCTCACAGCAACCTCAAACTCATGGGCTCAAGCAATCCTGCTGCCTCAGCCTCCCAAGTAGCTGGGATTACAGGCATGCGCCACCATGCCTGGCTAATTTTTTCTATATATATTAGTTGGCCAATTAATTTTTTTCTATTTATAGTAGAGACGGGGTCTCGCTCTTGCTCAGGCTGGTTTTGAACTCCTGACCTTGAGCAATCCTCCCGCCTCGGCCTCCCAGAGTGCTAGGATTACAGGCGTGAGCCACTGCACCTGCCCCAAATGCATCATTTCATTTAAATACACAAGAAGCCTATGAAGTAGATGTTAAAACTGTGCCCACTTCATCAATGAGGCAAATAGGGATCAGAAAGGTTGAGAAATGTGTGCAGGTTGTTTAGGTGGAAAATACACTAAAAAGATACACACTTATTAGACTCTTCCCTCCCGCCATGATGTGTAATTAAAAACAAGAGTAATAAGAACACTTAGGTGCTTACCCTGCAGGCCTAGGTGACCCAGACCCACTCCGCATAGAGCTCTCCACTCGAGGACTAGCCACATCAGGAGGCTGAGGAGGAATGAGGGTTTTCCGAACTGCCATTCTGAAAGAGATAAGAGATAAACCTGGAAAATAGCAGTCTAAAGACATTAAAGGATAAGAAATATAAGATATGTATTTGCTAGGCATACTTGTGGCAAAACAAAAGCACTACATTGACCATGTATTTTTTAAATGGATTTTATTTTAGCAAATAACATAGGCACGTTTTCAAAAGGCCAAATAGTACTACAAGGCTTTTAACAAAATACAGCAGGTCCCTTCCCCATCATTGCCTGCTTCCTGCCAGTTTCTCTCCAGGAAGCAACCACCGTGACTATTTTTTTTTTTTGAGACAGAGTCTCACTCTGTAGCCCAGGCTAGAGGGCCGTGGCGTCAGCCTAGCTCACACCAACCTCAAACTCCTGGGCTCAAGCAATCCTCCTGCCTCAGCCTCCCGAGTAGCTGGGATTAGAGGCACACGCCACTATGCCCAGCTAATTTTTTCTATTTTTAGTTGTTTGGCTAATTTTCTTTCTATTTTTAGTAGAGACGGGATCTCGTTCTTGCTCAGGCTGGTCTCGAACTCCTGAGCTCAAGCAATCCTCCCGCCTCGGCCTCCCAGAGTGCTAGGATTACAGGCGTGAGCCACCGTGCCTGGCCCGTACCTGCCTTTATGCCTATGTATTTATATAAATCTGAGCAAGTTCCTGGAAGTCAAGTGAAAAAAGTTTATGAAGGGGCCGGGCGCGGTGGCTCACGCCTGTAATCCCAGCACTCTGGGAGGCCGAGGCGGGTGGATTGCTCGAGGTGAGGAGTTCGAAACCAGCCTGAGCAAGAGCGAGACCCCGTCTTTACTATAAAGAAATTAATTGGCCAACTAATATATATAGAAAAAACTAGCCGGGCATGGTGGTACATGCCTGTAGTCCCAGCTACTCGGGTGGCTGAGGCAGTAGGATCGCTTGAGCTCAGGAGACTGAGGTTGCTGTGAGCTAGGCTGACGCCATGGCACTCACTCTAGCCTGGGCAACAAAGCGAGATTCTGTCTCAAAAAAAAAAAAAAAAAAGTTTATGAAGGAAGAGTTATAGATCAACTGTGTCATGCAATAGAGAGGCTCTTTAAGGCTCTGCATGAGAATTACCCATCGGGCTAATAATGTAGAAGTTAATCTTGACGTATTTAGTTTTGGTAGAGTGGTAGGAACAAATGCCAAATGAGAATGGGTTTGAGAGAAAATGGCTGGAACCAGGATACAGCAGTTTCCCAAAACTAATCATCAATGGACCCAGGTATTGATCATTGCAGCTACTAACATATCAAAAAGGGTGACCATCAGACATTATCTATCTGCTGGTAAACAACTAAATCACCAATAATCTTGTCACAAGAAACTGAATAAAAAAAAAAAGAAAAAAATCTGATGAAACCTTTAGTTGAATTGAGCCCTAGCTACTCAGGAGGCTGAAGCAGGAGGATTGCTTGAGCCCAGGAGTTTGAGATTGCTGTGAGCTAGGCTGATGCCACAGCACTCTAGTCCAGGAAACAGAGTAAGACTCTGTTTCAAAACAAAACAAAACAAAAAAATGGCTTTTATAATTTCAACGTATGTTCCTTCCTTCTATGACTAGTTAGTTCATGGTTTATCATGAAAGTGTGGAAGATTTTACTGAATGCTTTTCTGCATCTATTGAGATGATTATATGTTCTTTGTTTTTAGTTCTGCTTATGTGGTGAATCACATTTGTTGATTTGCATATGTTAATCCATCCTTGCGTCCCTGGGATGAAACGAACTTGATCATGAATTATCTTTTTGATGTACTGCTGAATTTGGCTTGCTAGTATTTTGTTTAAGACTTATGGTGGATCTATGTTCATAAGGGATATTGGTCTGTTGTTTTCTTTTTTGTTGTGTCCTTTCCTGGCTTTGGTGTCAAGGTGATACTGGCTTCATAGAATGAGTTAGGGAAGATTCCCTCCTTCTCGATGCTATAGAATAATTTCTGTAGTATTCATACCAGTTCTTCTTTGTAGGTCTGATAAAACTTGGCCGTGAATCCACTGTTGCAGCAAAAGGAAGGGTGCAAAAAAGGGGAGGCTCTGAAATTCTTCTGCTTGGTCTAGCCTGTTGTTGAGGCTTTCTGCTATATTTTTAAATTCCCTAAATGACTCTTTTGTTTCTTTAAGTCCTGTTATATGTTTTTTTATACTGTCTATCTCTTTAGCAAGTTTTTCTTTTTTTAATTTTATGTCCTGAAACATTTTTTTGGCTTGCGTTGGTTTTCAACTTTCTCTATAATTCCATTCATCTTACTTGTCATTCATATTCTGAATTCTATTTCTGACATTTCAACAATTTCCTGTATGTTAGGGTCCATTACTGGAGACCTATTGTGATCCTTTAGGGTTGTTGAAACAGCTTGTTTTTTCATGTTGCTAGAGTTGTCATTCTGGTTCTTTCTCATCTGAAATCTCTTCTTTCAGACAGGCTCATGACAGGTAAGCTTGTAGCCCACCTGTTCTCTTCTGCTGGGAACTCTCCTACTTAGTGCAAACAAGGAGTGGTCCCTGGATGGCACATTTGTGTCCTACTCTGGAGACTTGACCTTGCCCAAGATAGGTGGATGTAATGTGAGTGTTTAATGCTGTTGCTCTCCTGCATCTCCTCCCTGGTTGTCACTGGTGGTCTCGGCTTTGCAGAGTGAATGAATGCCCCACCTAGTTCTGTCAGCAGCGGCAACTGTCAGCCCAAACCAGCTTGAGGGCTGCTTTATTCAAATCTGCAGGCTGTCGCATTTGTCAGTCCACACCAGCTTGAGCGCAGTCCCGCTCATGCCTGTGGGTGGTGGCAACTGTCTGCTCATGATGGCTTGAGAGCTGCCCCACACAGATCCACAGGTGATGGCAATTGTTGCTCCTTGTGGCTTGAGTGTAGCCCCACTCACAGTCTCTGGCAGTGGCAACTGATGGCCTGTACCAGTCTGAGGGCTGCCCATTCAGATCCACAGATGACAGCATTTGTCAGTTGTATACCATCCTACAGGCAGCAGTGACTGTCAGCTTGAGAGTTGTCTGGGTTAGACATGCAGGCAATGGCATTTCTTGGCCCTTTTGTCCTGAGCATAGCCCCACCCAACTCTATGGCTTGAGAGCTGCCCCGTTCTGCTCCTCTGGTGCCGTGTTTCTCAATGGAGCTCCAGACTGAGTGCAGCTCCACCCCAATCCTCAGGCAGTGGTGACTGTCAGCTCACTCAGCTGGAGAGCTGCCCTATTTGGATCCTCTGGCTCTACTATTCATTGGCTGGGTGCTTGTCTGAGCCCAGCCCTGTCCATGCGGACGGGCTGTGGCAACTATTGGATGGCCACGTCCCTGTGCTGCAATGAGGTTGTGTGGCACCTGCCCACGGGATTCATAAGAATGCCCAGCCTCCCTGTTCCCACCCCCTACCATGAACTGGCAGGGGCAATGGGGAGGTAGCAGCAATAAATCTGACCCTTGGTAGAGATGGTGCTTGGGTCTAGGGTTATAAGATGGTGCCAGCCATAGCACCCAGGATTTGTGAGCCAGTGGGTCACAAATGGCTCTGCACAGTCACCAGATACCTCCCTATGTCAGTCCTTTGACCTTCTGCAGTGGAAAGTCCCTCCTGCAGGTGAACAGCAATGATCACTGGGGGAGTGTGGAGCCCCAGGATTCTCCCCTCTGTGCCTTCCCCATGTGTGTACTCATCTTCCCTGTGCGCCTCCAAATGGCAGAGCAGGTGCCCTCTCTTCCTTCCCTTCCCTTTGGGTGCCTCCTGTCACCTCTCTTTTAAACATGATGCTTTCTCTTAGATGAGTGATCTGAAGGTGGAGAGCCTCTTGCAACCTTGAATCCTCTGTATGAGAATGGTATATGCAGGCTGCTTCTAGCCTCCCTTCTTGGACCCCCTCATTCCAATCTGCCATCTTAACCACAAGTTTTACCTTACATTTTTATTAAAGAGGTTACTTACTTTATCCTTTAAAGAAGGTCTCATTTCATAATAAGCAAAGATAGAGACTCCAGTCTGTGCAAAGCTCTGTGCGAAAACCCTGTATCAACCCAAGTGCAATTTAAGTCAGCACTATGCTTTAATGTTGTGCTATTGATACTATCAGTTCAGCTGAGCCACAGAAACTGCTCTCTGTAATGTGACTGCTCATCACCCACCTTCAGAAACTTTAAGTTTAACACTGTAGCACAAAACATTCCTGCCTATGATCCATGGACTGAGAGGCTTACATGGCAACACAAAACACTACCCACTAATAAATGTGAGTCTTAGTACACTTTGAAAATTGCCCTTAGCAATGATTCATGCTTAATAATGGGGGGAAAAAATGGCATCAGTTCATGTAACTACCTAGACAAGCCTGATGGGTAAATTATAAGTTACTTTAAGGTTTCTAAGATTGAACTTCCTGAACTGGAGAGAACTAGAGCAGTATGAGACAGATGCTCAGAAACTGACACCCCACTGACTCAAGGATTCCTAATAACCCATAATCTGAGCTGGGCATGGCTCTACTGAATGCCCTGTGGTCAAGTTGTTTTGGAAGAAATTAAAAAATACCACAGAAAATGAGAGATTAGTTTGCTACCAGCATTGGATATGAGTTCCTATCATTTACACCAATTACAACCACAACTAGGTGTCATTTGGCAGTATGGAGTCTACTCACCCATCTGTGGCAGGTTTCTTCCGCAGTATGCTTGGCCGGGGTGATGAACCCTGAGCAGGAGCATTGGTGCTAGCACTCTGGCTGTGGGTCTGCACCACGGTTGTTGCTGCTGGAGCAGCACTGAATGGACTGCTAATAGGATTGGCTACAATTGTGGCTCCATCTGCCAACACCACTGCTGGAGGAAAGAGAAGCAACAGGAAAGAACAATGAAGAGAGGGAAAGAGAAGAAACAAAATATCTCATAAGCCATAAATAAAAATAATGAGACCACCAACATTAGATATCCATGTTTTACTTTTACCTGTCCAACTTTAAGAATATAAGGGACATCAAAGAGTGACCAAGGTTTTTAAAAAAAAAAAAAAAAAAAAAAAAGAATATAAGGGACAGGAACATGTTTATCTGCCTAAAACCAGATGGCAAAGTGGTTGCCAAAGATGGAGAAGTTACAGAGTCTACTGGTGCATCATCAATACCATTATTTTATCTTTGCTGTGTAATAACAGTTACTAATAAATGAGATAAGATACACCAAGTACATAAAGTAGCTAGTGCACTATCTCATTCTACTTTACATTTTTCACTCTTATAAACCTTACATTCAGTATTATATTCATTTTAGAGATGAGAGAACTGAGTCAGGAAAGGCTAATAAAAGGAGGAGCTACAAATAGAAAACATGATCTATAGGCTTGATAGCAGCTCAAAAGTATACTTCAAAAAATGTGCTCACACAGTTTTTGTAAAATACCAATCTTCCTCAGCCCCTAATAATGGTACCATCCCTGGTCTATCTTTAGGAAGACACTCAGCCAATAGATATTTTAAATATATAATTAAAGTTAGCATCAAAATACTGGTGAGCATGAGATCATAATCAGAAACTACCCATATCTGAAAGTTTTTGACCTACAAAAAGGACAATTTCATGAGTTAACCTAATGTGATGAGTTTTCTAGCAGGTGCTCTTAAAGATACAGGCACATCATCCTTTTAGGTGGCTCACTATGGGTAAATTGCACCTCTGTGGCAGTCAATGATGAAAAGTCTGAGAGATTTTGATTAAATAGTTAAATTCACAATTGCAAAGCTGTGGAAACAACCCAAGTGCCCATCAATTCATCAGTGGATTAATAAATGTGGTATATGTATACCATGGAGTACTACTCAGCTTTAAGAAACAATGGTGATATAGCACCTCTTGTATATTCCAAGATATAGCTGGAACCCATTCTACCAAGTGAATTATCCCAAGAATGGAAAAACAAACACCACATGTACTCACCAGCAAATTGGTATTAACGGATCAACACCTAGGTGGACATATAGGAGTAACATTTATCGGGTGTCATGAGGGTGGGAGGGGGAGGAGGGGATAGGTATATACAACCACAACGAGTAAGATGTGCAACATTTGGGGGATGGACACGCTTGAAGCTCTTGCTTGAGGGGGGAGGGGGGCATGGGCAATATATGTAACCTTAACACTTGTACCCCCATAATACGCTAAGATTTAAAAAAAAGGAGAAAAAAATAAACATTAAAAAATCAATAAAAAAAATAGCTAAATTCAAGATCTATGGCTGGGTGTGGTGGCTCACGCCTGTAATCCTAAGCACTCTAGAAGGCCCAGGCAGGAGGATCATTTGAGCTCATGAGTTCGAGGCCAGCCTGAGCAAGAGCGAGACCCTGTCTCTACTAAAAAAAATAGAAATAAATTAGCTGGACAACTAAAAATATGTATAGAAAAAATTACCTGGGCATGGTGGCACTATGCCTGTAGTCCCAGCTACTCAGGAGGCTGAGGCAGTAGAATTGCTTGAGCCCCAGGAGTTTGAGGTTGCTGTGAGCTAGGTTGATGCCATGGCACTCTAGCCGGGCATCAGAGTGATACTCCCTCCCTCTCTCTCAAAAAAATAGATCTACAGGGCCATTAAAATGATCAGTTCCTAGTTGATCTCTTCATGCTATAGTTAATGCAAAAGATAACCTTTAAAATCAGTACCCTGGCTGAGAAACAGCTATTTCTTTAACTACATCAGAGAAATAGCTAATTAATATTCCAAGCACTGTGATTTATTCCATTTTTCAAAATGCCTATTCCGTTAGTATTGATATTTCTTTTTAAGCACCGATATTAGCTAATATTAGTGTGAGATTATATAGCTTTATATACACCTCTGAAGAAAACCTTAAAATGATGAAAATACTACTTATACAGTGAATTTACTCTCTCAACTAAGAACTTTTTATAAAAAGAAAAAGCTCTCACCATGTACAAATGCTTATTAAGCTGTCTATGAAAATTATTTCTTATGTTTACAATGACACCTAGAAGGTAAGTTCTAGGCAACTCATATTACAAAGAGGAAAGTAAGGTCTAGAGAAATTATCTCAGAACACAAAGCCAGTGGTAGAGCCAGACTTAAAACCCAGATGTATTTCTTTCCCCATACCCTCTTCCATGTAAAAAGTTAAAATTACCTGAAGTCTTTCCTTCAGGCTGTGGCTGCTGAGTACCCATTGGTGCAGGCTGAAGCCCCTGTGTGTTGATTGGGGTTGCCGAATGAATCCCCTGTGTGCCAATTGGTGCAGGTTGTATCCCTGGTGTCCCAATGGGGGCCGGCTGGATGCCCTGTGTACTGATGGGTGCTGGCTGAATCCCTTGGATATGTCGAGCATGTGATGCATCTACTGTCATCAGCTGCATGGGGTTTAAGTGGACCGTAGATGCTACCCCAACACCAGTCTGGGCTGTGATGGCAGAGTTTGGAGCTTGAGCTGAAACTAAAAATAATATAAAAGGTAACTACAAAAAGGTTAGCTGTCATTAGACACAGTCCATGAAAGTAGAAAAACACTAAAAGGAAAATGTAAGTTTTCCACTGTATAAGATCTAAATCAGTTAAAAAAACACAAACAAACATGGAAACTTTATATACTAGGGATTGTTTTTTTCCTTTTACTTTCTACCAGTATGATGTGGTCTTTCTGGAGATTACTAGAAATACAATTAAAATGATAAAAAAAAAGCAATCATCTATTAAATTCCAAATATTAGCCAGGCAACTGTACTAAATAAGTAATACAGCAGGTATGAATTTCAAATGGCATATATCCACCGTAAAAAGTGAACAAGTGTCTTTTTTCCTACAAAGCAAATACTCCATCTACTGTGAATATTAAAACAAATCAACCGAACAAAAAGAATGAAAATAAAAGCATTCACAAAATGCAACAAAAAAGAAGGGATTCCTCACTACTTTTGGAAAGAAAACAAACACAAGAGACTTTCCCCCCCCTTCAACCATCAAAACAATCCAGAGATGGAAGAACCTGTTTCCAGAGCTATTTAAATATCTTATAATATTTGAAATTTTAGACCAGTACAATGAAATACAAAGTCACACATGTGGCTTTAAATTTTCCAGTAGCTACATTAAAAAGAAACACTAACAGGTCAAATTAATTTTGATGATATATTTCATTTAATCTAATATATCCAAATTATCAATATGTAATCACTACAAAAATTATTAATAAGATATTTTACATTCTCTTTTCTATATCTTCAAAATCTAGGGTGTATTTTACTCTTAAAGTACATCTCAATTCAAATACTTAAGTTTTATCAAAAATTCTTAATCTGTATTTTGATTCCATAAAGCATACAATTGAAAAAGTAGTTTTAAATCTCTAAATTGTTCCAAACATATTTGAAATTTCTCAAATTTTAATTAAACAAAATTAGAAATTCAGCTTTTCATTTACACTAGCCCACTTCAAGTGCTTGACAGCCACATGGCTCTGGCTGCTGTACTGTACCATGTGGGAGGAGGGCAATGTCCACAATTTGGGCAATAAGGCTTTCTGATGCCCAGAGTGACCAAAGGGTCCTACAGGAAAAGAATACACAAAATCTGAGGTTTGAGGATTGTTTTTCCTGGATTAGCAAAAAGAACACTATTTACAAGCCAGGTTAGTGATAGCTGAGCCCAAATGGATTAAAATAACACAATGTAAATCCCCAAAAACTACAGCTTTATTCATTGTAACCACTATTGCTTCAAGAGGTAGCAAAAATTGTTAACATGATCATCCACAAGATGGGATAAAACTATGCAAATATCACAAATAAGTAGTAACTTCTTTTTTTTTTCCCCATTTTTAATTCTTTTCTTTTTCCCCAGCATATTGTGGGAGTACAAATGTTAAAGTTAAGTGTATTGCCCTTGCCCTTCCCGAGTAACAACTTCTTATAGATCACAAAGATGGTGATGAGAGACTTTAAAGCTTCACATTTTAGCCTTACCTGAATCTGAATCTAGAGTAATCAAATCCCATACTAGAAATACTCTCTGATCAATTTTTATCTCATTGCTGCCAAAAATTAAAACGTGAAAAGTCATCTTAAAAGCAGGGCTCATACCTGGATATTGTCGAATAGTGGACACAGAACTGGTGATTGGGGTGTAGGTATGTGCCGCCAGTGGGTATGCAGAAGGGGGGTAAGTTGGCAAAAAGTATTGGAATTGAACAGGAACAGATGGTCTAGAAATAGAAAACAAGTGTTAGCAAACAAAGTGGTTATTATCCTCTTTACCCCTTGATATGATCCTATCCGCAGGATCCTCTTCATACCTTTCATAACTGCCAAACCAGTTTCTCCCAAATTGGGTCCCCAAAAAACTACTACATCACAGAACACAGACTGAGAAAGTGTAAAATTTAAAAAAAAATAAGTGGATAATGTACCTGTATCAATAAATGTAAAAACAGATAATATTTTATAGCTGATTCTTTTTTCTGTAGAGACAAAGTCTTGCTCTGTTGCCCAGACAGGCATACAGTAATACTCAAATTCCTGGGATCAAGCAATCCTCCTTCCTCCTGCCTCAGCTTCCCAAGTAGCTGGGAATACGGGCATGTGCCACCACACTCAGCTAAGTTTTCACTTTTCGTAGAGATCGGGTCTTGCTATGTTGCCTAGGCTTGTCTTGAACTCCTGGCTTCAACCAATCCTCCTGTCTTGGCCTTCCAAAGCGCTAGAATTACAGGCATAAGACACAGTGCCTGGCTTATGGGTAACTTTTGAGAATAACAATTACCAAAAATGACTGACAGTGCTCGCTTCGGCAGCACATATACTAAAATTGGAACGATACAGAGAAGATTAGCATGGCCCCTGAGCAAGGAAGAAACGCAAATTTGTGAAGCGTTCCATGTTTTTTGAATGTGAATTAAAACAGAAGACAGCATTAAAAGCACAAACAATGGTTACCATGAAAAGTAAAAAAAAAAAAAAAAAAAAATGACTGACAAAAACTCAATATTCCAAAGTCTTTTCCACTAAGTCCTACTTGAAATACATTAAACTCAGGCTGGGCATGGTGGCTCACACCTGTAATCCTAGCACTCTGGGAGGCTGAGGTGGGCGGATTGCCGAGGTCAGGAGTTCAAGACCAGCCTGAGCAAGACTGAGACCCCGTCTCTGCTGTAAATAGAAAGAAATTAATTGGCCAACTAATATATATACAAAAAATTACCCGGGCATGGTGGCACATGCCTGTAGTCCCAGCTACTCAGGAGGCTGAGGCAGGAGGATCGCTTGAGCCCAAGAGTTTGAGGTTGCTGTGAGCTAGGCTGATGCCACAGCACTCACTCTAGCCTGGGCAACAAAGCGAGACCCTGTCTCAAAAAAAAAAAAAAAAATACATTAAACTCAGATTGTTTTTACTGGTCAATTTAATCAAACATATATAAAACACATAATCCCAACCCCACACAAACTGACTCGGAGACAAAAAAAAAGGAATGAGATCCACCTTTGTTTAACTTTTAGTTTTTTTAGAGATGTTGTTTTACTATGTTGACCAGGCTGGAGTGCAATGGCTAATCATAGGTGGAATCATGGCACACACAGCCTCAAACTCCTGGGTTTAAGCTATCCTCCCACTTCAGTCTCCTGAGTACTTGGGACTACAGGCATGCGCCATTGCACCTGGCTCCCGACTTACTTTTTGAGGTTGATATAGCGTTTTTTTTTGCAACAGAGTCTCGCTTTGTTGCCCAGGCTAGAGTTAGTGCCCTGGCACCAGCCTAGCTCACAGCAACCTCAGTCTCCCGAGTAGCTGGCACTACAGGCAAGTGCCACCATGCCCGGCTAATTTTTTCTATATATATTAGTTGGCCAATTAATTCCTTTCTATTTAGAGTAGAGATGGGGTCTCGCTCTTGCTCAGGCTGGTTTCGAACTCCTGACCTCGAGCAATCCACCCACCTCAGCCTCCCAGAGTGCTAGGATTACAGGCGTGAACCACCGCGCCTGGCCTGATATAGCCTTGATACTAAAATTGCACAAGGAGAGTATGAGAAAAGATTATAAACAAATCTCACTCTCTATAATGAGAAAAAATTCGTAAATAAAAATGAATTAATTACCATATAAAATTAAATATCACAGGAAGATAGGAATGATTCAACAAAGGAATTTCTATTAATGTTTTTAGATCTTAAAAAATCAAAAAGAACAATCACTTGAAATGTCAAAAAAGATAAATCAATACTTATTCATGGCATAAATGCCTAAGCACAAAGAAAGAAATTTTGTTCCTCAAATAGAAACTGGTATCTATCAAAATCTGTAATGAAATTTCAGAATCCCATTCAGGTCAGGAATAAGACAAGAAGGCTCACTATCTCTGCTCTACTAACATTGTATCAGAAGCCCTAGCCAACACAGAACAAAACAAAAAAATAGTATAAAAAAACAAATGTAAATACCCTCTTATCTCCCCTCAAAATTGTCTTTATTCAAAGAAAAAACAAATATCTACATATTTATTTATTAAAACAATCTATATATGTTTAGAACTAATAGGAATATTCAACAAGGTGAAGGGACAAAGATCAATAAATTAAAATCTGTAAGCATTCTTATACACACTAAATATCAAATCAGAACATTTAAAAATCATCTAATTTTGAAATTACCATGTATATTCTGTACAGGGTTCTCACTATGGGAGAGGCAGATAAAAATATGGAATGGGGGAAGTGAGGGGATGAACTATAGGATCAGCATGTACTTAAATGTTTAATACTGTTATATATCTCCTACCTCCACCTGCTGAAAGGGCCTAGAATGACATTCTGTAGCAAAAAGCACAGCCAATGTATAGATCTTGGTTTGTGAACAATGAAAGGGCTCCTTGGAGAAACAGCAGATTTCAGGGCTCAAACAAAGTTCAAGAGGAACCTAAAGGCTGGGCGAAGTGGCTCATGCCTGTAATCCTAGCACTCTGGGAGGCCAAGGCGGGTGGATTGCTCGAGGTCAGGAGTTCGAAACCAGCCTGAGCAAGAGCGCCCCATTTCTACAATAAATAGAAAGAAATTAATTGGCCAACTAATATATATGGAAAAAAAATTAGCCAGGCATGGTGGCGCATGCCTGTATTCCCAGCCACTCAAGAGGCTGAGGCAGGAGGATTGCTTGAGCCCAGGAGTTTGAGGCTGCTGTGAGCTAGGCTGCTGCCATGGCACTCACTCAAGTCTGGGCAACAAAGCAAAACTCTGTCTCAAAAAAAGTGCCATGGCATTCAGCCTGGCTCACAGCAACCTCAAACTCCTGGCTCAAGCAATCCTTCTGCCTCAGCCTCCCGAGTAGCTGGGACTACAGGCATGCGCCACCATGCTGCTAATTTTCTATATATATAGTTGGCCAATTAATTTCTTGTTTATAGTAGAGACGGGGTCTCGCTTTGCTCGGCTCGGTTCAAACTCTGACCTCGAGTGATCCGCCCGCTCAGCCTCCCAGAGTGCGTAGGATTACAGGCGGT